AGAGATCATCCTGGTGGCTAGATTTTTTTTTTAATGATGACTAAAAATGCCTATTTAGAGAGGATACTGAATGACATAGTGAACATTTAAAGTTGAAACTTCCTGTCCACCAAATATTTTCCTAAACATGTTTTTAAGCATATACATTAACCTATAAAGTCAACTCTTAATTATCTACAGCAAAAGAGAACTTTGGTACTACTAAATTCAATTTTTTTTTAATGTAAAATTGCAGAGTATTTTTGGAATTAAATTGGAGCATGCCTAAATATGAAAATGTGAAAGTCCCATTTTTCTGTTATGTATTCTATTATGAGGAATGAACAGCCTAACTATACTGAATTATTGATATAAATAAAGCACCACCATAAAATCTCTTCCTAAAAGATTGCTGGGTCACATCTAGCAATTTAGGGCAAAAGGTAAATAAAGAATTACTTTTAAAAGCCTCATTTCCCTTTTGATAGAAGCATCAAGATACTAAAATAAAAATAATGTAATAAGTACTTCCAAAATATAACAATTTTAGTTCTCCCATATGATAAGGGGCTGATAAGAAAACAAAAAATAAATAAAAAGATAAAATTTAAAAATAAGTAAAAAATAGAAAATATTTTTAAAAAGCAGCCTAGGCAAGAGAAGTGGGTGGGTTTAGGAGAATCCCTTTCTGAAAAATTCAGAGAATTATTATTAATCCTTCTTAAATTAAATGTAGGATCAAGCATACTGTATGTGGAACTGGGACAATTCTTTGATAAACTTTAAGGTTGCTAAATAACTTACAGAAACTATGAATGCATTTTCATTTTAAGAGGCAAAAGAGAAAATATTCCAGATTGCATAACAATTTTATTTTTTGAAATGGTTATCCTAAAGAATTTCCTTAAATTCAGATTTTTGCAAAATTCCTACTTTCCAAGTCATCAAGTAAACACTAAAAACAACTTTACTCATGAATATGGTAAACTCTTTATGAAGCATACATTTTTCATAAATCTAGGCCAAAGTAAGCTAATTGAAATTTAATTCTAAATTCATCCTGTGATTTCTGGACATAATATTGGCATAAAACGAGTAAAAATACTTTAAAAAAAAACCATTTACTTCCCAAATAATTTAGTTTTGGAAATATTTATATTCTTAGTCAAAAAATTACTTTTAGAGTCTAAAGGTTTTAAAAACAAAATTGGTCCAACAATTATCAAAATGAAATGACTATAAACACTGACTAAAACTTCTTAACCCACAGAAATAAACCATTTCAGGCGAGTTCACCTCACTTAATTTTTAAAACCCATTTCTGTTTTCCAGCTTTACAACTGGATTGAACATTGCTCAGCTGCCCAACAACATTACCTATGTCAAAAGTGAAAAGATAGAAAGTATTGTAAATATTTCACAGTGAGTAAATCTGGGAATAGTATACTGTGTATAATCAACATTTCAGAGCTGGAAGGGATCTTTAATGTCTAATCCAGCACCCACATTTTATAGATGAGAAAACCAAGCCCAAACACGTCAAATAACTTGACCAAAGTCACATTCCTCAGCTGAGCCATTCATTCATTCAATCATTCATTCACCCACTTACTGAAAGCTGCCTAAGTTCCAGGCTGGATGTTAGGAGATGGAAAGCAGCATTCACAATTGCCAAGGCAGTCTTTTTTTCCTTGTATTTTCAAGATATATTCTTTAACTTCCTGATCACCAGAACTCATAGGAGAGTTCCACAGCCTTAGTAGAACTTAGCCCAGTTTTAGTTTCATACATTTCAATAAACATAGTTGGGTTTAACTTCAGAGAAACCTCAATTGTTGTTTACTTTAAATGATTAAGCATTAACAAAGGGAGGCACAATATTCTGAAAGAGTCCCTTTCTAGTACATTTATAACTTAAGGAAGTGAATTCAGAAAATACCCTGTACACACAGACCAAGTTCACGGAGAGGACAGCTTACAAAATCAGAGGAATCTGAGGTATCAATATATTACAGATCAGTGAAGTCCAATAGCTCAAGTTTACAAGTTTACAAAGTGTGAAATGTAAACATCTCCCCATTCCATTTAGATATGGGTATGTCTACATGTTAAAAAGACCTCCAAACTCACACTCAAACAAATTCCCTCTTCCAATTACACATGGATCTAAAACTAGGCTTTCTGCCTTAAGATCAACTTTTTAAAATTTCTTTTTGATTAGAAAAAATTAGATTAACAAATAAAATCTAAAATTTAATGTGCTGGCTAAAAAAGAAATTCAAATTCTATGTAATCAAAATAACAATAACTCAAACTGCACATTCATGAGTTTTGTTAAAAAATGGGATGTGCAGTGAACTTACTCATCAGCATAAATCATACCTCATTTTTCTTGGACCTGTACATTCTTTAATATTAAGTCTGGCACTTAAATGTTTTGTGTGTTTCAATTCACAGTCAACTTATTTTAAGAAGAGACCATATTGACAAAGCTCTTAAATAAAACAACCCATAAGTAAGGCACTGTGAAATATTAAACAACAGCACTCTGGATACCCAGTTTCAGTGTGATATACCAAAATGAACCCCAGCTTTCCAGTGCTCCAGAGGACTGCTGGGTGGCTTTTGATAAAATAAAATACAATCTTCACTGAGGCTCTTATGGCTCTTTGACTTTCTTGAAGCTATTGTCAGCTCACGACGAAAGTGCTGTTGTGCTCTATTTCTCAAAACTCCAAATTTGATTTTTATCTAGAGCATCACAAGTTTTCATTTGTACATCAGGTCGGCCCTCTGGTGTCCGGTAAGCACTAAGACACAGTCCTGAGTGTGGGTGAAAAATGGTTCCATCGTCTTTAAAATGCCAAATAATATTTACTGGTGCAGGAAATCCATCTTTGGGACAATTTTGCATTCCTACATAATTCTTTTGCTCAGGAACCTCTGCACATAACTCTGTCACAGAATTAAACCTTATTTCTTTCTTTGAAGTATATTCAAAGAATTGATTGCCTCCTTGACCATGGCATCCAAACAGCGAAAGGTTAGCACCCGTGGGGTTGTTATCAGGAGAATTATAATCTAAACATTCAGACGAGATCCCTCTACTGCGAATAGCCCCATGCCAGCCTGGCCTATCCTCTGGAACATGTAAATTAGGAAACACGTTTTTCAAATACCAGTCAAAGCTCTTGCATTTCAGCCGCTCTCGTAGTAGTTTTCTTTCAGAAATGTCACCATAAGCTTCTTTTCTTGCTGGAGGGTTTCTATTGTAGAAGTGTTCTTTGTACTCATCCATCCAAACTTCTGCAGCCCGAGCAGTATTCTGTAGGAAATTGGGGCGAGCATATGGTGCCCGCTTGGGGAACACATGGCCCACGTGGGAACATGGGTGGATCTCCAATTTGCCACCACACTGCCACACCCTAAAAGACAGCTCAAGGTTTTCACCTCCCCACACTTCCATGCCGGTGTCATATGTTCCAAGGTACTGAAAATATTTCTTGCTGACAGCAAACAGTCCTCCAGCCATGGTGGGTGATCTGATGGGATCAATTCTTGATATCCGCCTGTCTCTTTCATGTTTGGGGACAGAATGCCATTGAAACGTTAAACGCCAGTCAAATCCACCAATCATGGGCTCCCCTGTCTGCATATAGAATTCAAAAGTATTCCAATCAATGGTGTCTATAACAGGACACACAATTGCTGTTTCATCTCTCCCAATCCTTTCCAGAAGTGGTTCCAGCCAGCCGGAATTACACTCACAGTGACAATCCAGGAAAGTGAGGACGTCCCCAGTGGCGAAAGTGGCCCCAATCAGACGGGCCCTAACCAGCCCCTCACGCTTATTGGTCCTAATCAAGCGTACTCGATCAAGATTGCTGATGTAAGTTTCAAGTTGTGTCTTCAAATAAACTCTGTCACTCAAGTCATCCACCAAGATGATCTCTTTCAAAAGCACTGCAGGAGAAGTTTCTAAAACACTGTGAATGGTACGGAGCAAAGTCGACCAGGCTTCATTATAGAAAGCAATGATAACAGACGTGGTAGGAAGTGTCCTATAGTTGAACTTCTTGGACTTACACTCATACATTCTTTTATCCTCTATGTGTCGATGTAGGGAAATCCTGTCACTGAGGTAAATATTGATGGCATATCTCTCAATGAGTTCTTCTTGCTGCTTCAGTTCACCCTCGTTGAGATGGAGTTTGCTGGCTTTCCCCCACTCCCCAAGTGCATGGGAATCTGCAGGGGGCTTCTCATAAAGCGGTCGAGACAAATCCTCTATATTTTTCTGGAAGTCTGAGAGCCTTCTGGACCCCAGCTCCCTGGCATGGCCGGCTCCTGTGGAGGCATGGAAAGTGGAGACCAAGAGCTCCAGGAAGATATAGGCCACTGTTAAAAACGCCAGCAGCAGGCAGCTCTTGCCTGCCCAAGTCCACCTCACCGCCATCCGGTTCAGGGCTGGGGCGCAGACGCCGCCACCCAGCCACCACGCAGGGGGAGGGCGGCGGAACCCACAGCTCAAGCTCAGGTACTTTCCAGCAGGTCCTTCCTTTCATGCAGGCGCTGGGCTCCTTTCCAGTCAACCGGGCTTTCCAGGGGTCACCTGGGCTTTCCAGGGGTCACCTGAGCCCTCTCGGTCCTCGGCCCCGGCACAGCCAACTCCTCTCTCCCCACTTCCTCCTGCTCGGCTCACAACTTTTCACCAACTCTCCAGCCAACACCCCATCCTCCCGGGCCGAGGACAAACCCCTCCCCTTCCCACTCACTCCTCCTGGTGGTTAGACTGCGAAAGTCGTCGCCAGGCCCAGACGGCTGAATAGGGGCGGGGAAAGGAGGAGCGGTCCCCGGCTGGGCTGCAGCCCGCCGTGCTGGCCCTCGTCTCCAGGTGCTCTCAACCCCCATACGGGCCCTCAGCCGTTCTCCTAGGGGCCCTGGCTGGACAGGAGGAGATTTCCGTTCCGGCCCGTGGAGCTTCTGTCACATTACAAAAGGAAAACAAGAATAAGACTTACCGAGTTGCTTGCCGTTGGAGCTGAAGTCCAAGGAGGTGAGCGCAGCTTTGTGACCTTTGAAATAACGCTCCAGAACGGGGTCCTCCTGAAAAGGAAAGTTGTCAAGTTTTGAAAGCAGCCGCACACCTCCAATTCTGGGGGCCGGGATCGACACTGCCACTCCCCCGGAGCCCGGCCTCGGAATGGCTACGCAGGCGGCGACTTGGCGGGGCGGCGGGGCAGGACAGCAGCACGGGCGCCGCGCACAGTCCCGCCACAGGGCGACGCCGGCACCAGCTCTCCCCACAGGGACCGCAAAACGCTTGGTTCGCGCTTCCCGGAGTCCAGCGCATCGCAGGAACCGCGGCCCCTTTGAAATGCACGTTCCCGGGCACCGCCTGCTGGCAAAGGGCAGGCAGGTGCGAGGATGAGCCTCAGCTTTGGTACTTTTTTTTTTTTTTTCAATACCTCCCAGGTGATTCTGACGCAGGCGCTTCAAGGAAACCCTCCGAGAATTCTGGGGGTCAGGGGGGCCACCCGGCTCAGTCCGGAGCTCCGGAACTCCGGGAAAAGCGTCCGGGAGCTGGGTCTGGGCTCCGCACTCTGGCCGCCCCGGTGGCAGAGAGTGAGATGCGGATACCCCAGGACTAGGGGCTCAGGACCCGGTAGCGGACACCTGTCTCCCACTCCTGCCAGGTGCGGGCTCGGCCCGGACCTGGCTCGCAACCCGCTGGACAGGCTCCGGGGAGGAACTCACACCACCCCCCCCATCTCCAGTCCGTCCTTACCGTGGCTGAGGCCATCGGAGGAGCGTTCGGCGCTTGACCCCTAAGGGTGGGAGAACCCGGAGAGGGGAGGGGAGGGGAGGGGAGGGGGCGAGAGGGGACCGTGTGGCGCCCGGAACCGTCTGCCTAAAGCGGCAGCGCCTCCCGGTCACTACAACAACGGCGGCCCAGTTAGACCCTGCGCTCAAGGCATGGCCAGTAGAGCCCCGAGACCCCGCCGACGCTGTAAAGAGCGGGCGGGAGGGATGCTCCAGATCAGCTGTGGCCACACACCAAAGCCCATGTTTACTAACACTCGCGTTCCGCCACGTTTGATGTCAGGAAGTGGGGTAGTAACCAAGACAGGAATAAGGAATGAATGGAAGGGAGTTGTGAGCCTGTGATCGATGCAATCAGAGTTCTATTACGTTTTAAAGAGACAGCACCCGAGACGTTCAAGGTGGTCCCCTACTGATGATTTTGTTGAAAAGCTTTGACAGGAGAGGGACAACTTGCTAGTTATTACTATACTAAAAGAAACTAAATACCCGGAGGGCAGATTTGAATTTATTTAACCACTGTTTTCCACACAGTTCCCTGCGTGATATTGATATAGATGCTGGGTGTGCGTGAGGAATGAATGAGTGACTGAATGAATAAATGTTGTGCGTGCACTTAATAATTTTCCGCGATATGTTTCCATTCTCGTCTGCTCATTGGCGTATGCCTTAGAGCACTAAACTTACACAGCAGGATAATTAAAGTCTTTAGGAAGACTTGGAAACATGGTTTTTGTTTGTTCTTTTTTTTTTTTTTTTTATGAGACCGAGACCAGGTTAGCACAGTAGGCTTTGTTACTGAGTATCGTTTGTGCTTCAGCCAAACTATGAAGTTGGTAGAATTACAAAATGTTTTCAATGTTTCCAAGTTATAAATGATTCCTAGATACTGATCTTAGAGGTCATACAGAGACAGCTCTTCTAAGTCCATATCCTTTTTTAACCCTGCCTCAAAGCATGATGTTCTGAGCTGAAAATTACATATAGTGTAAGGATCCTTTGCAGCATAAAAAGGCATGATAGAACACAGTTGGTAAGACTGAAAGGTATGCTACACACCTTAATTACAGATTCCCTAGTTGTCTAGTGATTGAGTTTAATTTTATTGAATATGGTACTTAACAAACAGGTAGGCTTTAGATTCCAGTATTAGTTAATTTAAGTATACATTTGTTAAATATCTGTTATATGTTTGGCCTTGAGGGACACAAAGATGACTAAGATATTCCCCCTACCTTTGGGAACTCAGCAATCTAGGGTTGATGAGTCTCATGTTTTAGCATTTGTAATGTTGATTTAGGGGCAGCATTTCCAGAGATGCTGAATAAACATAAACAGAGTGGAATCCAGGGCCCTTCTGATGTAACAAGCACCATAGATGATTACTATGGGAGTCTCAGCTGTCTATGTTGAGAAATAATGCATTAGCCTAGGAGATGAGACGTTAAGAGTGTTGATACCAGGAACTTGCCAGCAAACTGTGGCAGGACTCTTGACCTTGCTCCTTATTCCCAGTTTAGGTTTGACTTATTTTAAAACCCTGCCATGTTTAAAAATAATGCTGGATACTGGTGGGAATGTAAAATGATGTAGCTCTGTGAAAAAGTTTGTCAGTTCCTCAAAAAGTTAAACATAAAATTACCTTATAATCCATCAATTTCACTGCTAGGCATATCCCATAAGTATTGAAAGCAGGCACTCTATAACAGATGCCAATATTCAAAGCAAGCATTATTTACAATAGCCAAAAAGTGGATACAATCCAGGTATCCAACAGATGAATGGATAAACAAAATGTGATATATAGATATAAGGAAATATTATCCTGTCATAAAAAGAAATGAAATTCTGATACAAGCTACAACATGGATGAACCTTGGAAACATTGTGCTAAGTGAATAAGCCAAACACAAAGGAGCATATGTTGTATGATTCCACTCATATAAGGTATCCGGAATAGGTGAATTCATAAAGGCAGAAAGTAGAATAGAGTTTACTAGAGCTAGGGGTAAGGGAGACTGGGGAGTTACTGTTTAATGGATGCAGAGTTTCTATTTAGAATGATGAAGTTCTGGAAATAGATAACGGTGATGTTTGCACAACATTGTAAATGTACTTAATGCCAGCACATTGTACACCTAAAATGGGTGAAATGGTAAATTTCATTATAGGTATTTCACCACAATAATAACATAATAATACCAGAAGCTGAAGAGTAATCAGGACCTCAGGATTACTCATAGCCAGTGTTATGTCTAATATTGGGCACAGCAGAAGAAGAAAAAGGAAGAAATTGGATATTTAGAAACTACCTCAAAATAATTAAAAAATACAGATTTTTATTTAAGTGTTTTAGTAAAAATTTAGTTTTTACTTTTTTCTCAATTATCAAAAAACACGTTTTAAATTTAAAAGATGAGAGAGAATTTACCTATTAGTCCTATCATCTAAAGTTGATCTTAAAAATTTTGTCACCCTCTGATATGATTTGGATTTGTGTCTTCACTTAAGTCTCAGGTACAATTGTAATCCCCAGTGCTGGAGGAGGGGCCTGGTAGGAGGTGACTGGATCATGGGGTTGGATTTCCCCCTTGCTGTTCTCATGATAATGAGTGAGTTATCATGAGATCTGGTTGCTTAAAAGTGTGTAGCACTTCCCCCCTTTATCTTTCCCTCCTGCTCCAGCCATGTAGGATGTGCCTGCTTCCCCTTCCCTTTTCACCATGATTCTAAGTTTCCTGAGGCCTCCCCAGCCATGCTTCCTGTACAGCCTGCAGAATCACGAGCCCATTAAACCTCTTTTCTTTGTAAATTACCCAGTCTCAGGAGTTCTTTATAGCAATGTGAGAACGGACTAATATAGCTACCTATGTCTTCACTACATACCAGGTACTTTTCTAAGTACATTACAAATTGTGACACTTAATGATCATAATGTTCTTATTAGAGATGTGCTATTATTACCATTTACATTTTATCGATGAGGAAATCGATATGCAGAGACATTAAGTTACTTGGCCAAGGCACACTGCTAACTAGGAAGTGGCAGGGTTGAGATTTTTAGACACTCAGAGTCTGCCTCCAGAGTCCACTGTCTTAATCCACTGTCATGACTTTTGTGTAATTGCAAGTGTATTGCAAATGTATAAAACATTGTGTTCTTGTCAAGGTTTTAATAATAATAAGTTTTACAAAAATGAAAGTAATGGCTCCTTTATTTTCAATCCACTGTCCTCACTTATTACTCTAAACTGCCCTTCCTATTGTTCTTTTCCATATTTGATTTTGTCCTTTTCTGCTTTTCTTCACCTTTGCAAACAGCAAAAGCTCAGAGGGAGACATTTGGAAATGTGGTCAAAGTTGAGGAAGTTTTTTCTAACCTCAAGCCTAATTCCACTTGCTGCAGTGATTATTTAGACTGCTCTAGATTGCAACCTAATCATTTATATGAGTGGAAGCCACAGCAGGATCAGTGTTTAAAAATCTACAGGCTGGGCGTGGTGGCTCACACTTGTAATACCAGCAGTTTGGGTGGCCGAGGCAGGTGGATCATCTGAGGTCAGGAGTTCAAGACCAGGCTGGCCAACATGGCAAAACCCCATCTCTACTAAAAATACAAAATAAATAAAATGAATAAAAAAATAAAAACCTACAAGGTTTTTACTGGAGGCCAGGTACTAGGTAGGACAGACTGGCCTCTAATTAGCCCTCCTTTTCCAGTTCCCCCTAAAACAGAAATTGCATTTATTTACATGAGCATTATAGTTCTTTTTATTTTAGCAGTGGTGATTTGGCCTTCAAATTTGGAAATTCGGCATAGCTCAAAAGTGCCATCTGCTGTTCACATTACTATATAGCACTTGGAGTGAACATTAAGCCTGTTTACAGGCAGTGGAACTCCCTTACACTTCCTCCAAAGTATAGGAGAGCACATGGAAAAGTACAAGATGAGTTTGAATCAATAACGAATCACATTTTCGAAAACAGCATGATTCATTTAAATCAACATTCAGTCTCCAAGTCCTATCAAGATATCCTTACTGTGTGTGTGTGTATACACACATACGTAGACACACACACACACACATGTGATGGGCTGCCCAGACTGGCCTTGAACTCCTGGGCTCAAGTGATCCTCCTGCAGCAGCCTCCCAGATAGCTGGGATTATAGGCAAGGTCCTCACCAAGTATTTTATCTTCCTATCTTTTTGTCCTATGGTTCCTGTCACTCCACAGACCCTGCCTTCTACCTCCTAGAATATTTCAGTAACCACCAACTTGCTTTCTGATCTCAAAACGTCTCCTCTCTACCTGTCTAACCTGCATTTACCATCAAGTAACATAAGATTCACTAAGGTAGCTTGCAAAACGTAAAGATTTTTGGGCCTCGCTCCAAAGGTTTTGATTCAGAAAGTCTAGTGTGAATACTAGAAATCTGCATTTTCAAACAAGCTTTTTAGGTGATTATAATGTGCCTCAACATTTGGGAACCACTGGGCATATCATGCCATAGATCTTCTTTAAAATGCACTTTAAGTTCACTTTTAAATGCCTCAAACCAAGTCCTACTTTATATCTAACCACACATCTCCCCTGGGCCAATCCTTAAGCCATTGCAGTTAACTACTTTAAAATGCACTTTAAGTTCACTTTTAAATGCCTCAAACCAAGTCCTATTTTATATCTAACCACACATCTCCCCTGGGCCAATCCTTAAGCTATCGCAGTTAACTACGCACATCCACACTTTGGAGGCACTGCTAGATCTATTTCTTTAGTCATGAATGCCTGTGCTACTCTTGCTCCAACTTCCACAAAAAGAAACTTATCTCAGGACTTGGGAAGATATATTTATGTAAAATCTTTCTCTGAACTTATCCTCCTTATAAAAATACAACTTATTATTTTTTCCTTTGGGTCCTGATGGTATGAAACTTAGGGTTCTACTTAGCACTATTTTATGTTGCTGCATTTACATCTATATTATGTTTATGTGTCTACCAGCACTTACTGTAGTGAAAGGTCAGTAAAGGTAAGAAGTGTGTTCTACTCTTTTAATATCACTCTGCAGGCACCACAATCCCGGACACATAGCAGAGGAACAAAAAATATTTTCTGCATTGATCGAAAGCTAACAGTTTGGCTGGCCAGCTCTATATTTACTGAAAAAGTCTACAAAATAAATAGAAAACATGATCATCGTCTTTCAATAGTTTAAAGTATTTTGTAATTTTATCAATACATTCTATTTGTACATTATGGGGTACATGTGATATTTTGTTGTATGCATAGAATGTATAATGACCTAGTCAGGGCATGTAGGGTATCCATCACC